CCCGGGACTCCAGGATCATGACCTGAGCCGAAGGCAGTTGCTTAACCAACTGAGCCACCCAGGCGCCCTAACTAATAGAGTTCTAATAGCTTTTTACTTGTTTCCTTTGTTTACTTAATGAACAGAGAGATCTTGTTTACAAATAGTCTTGGCCTGCTGTGAAGTGGAATGAAAGTGAATTTTAGAATGAGTTGAATCTGATTTTTATTTTTTTGAGATTTTATTTATTTGAGAGAGAGGGTGAGCAAGAGAGAGAGCGTGAGCTGAGGGGCAAAGGGAGAGGGAGAAGCAGACTCCCCACGAGCAGGGAGCCCAACCAAGGGGCTCAATCCCAGGACTCCAGGATCATGGCTCGAGTTGAAGGCAGACGCTTACCGCACTGAGCCACCCAGGTGCCCCTGAAATGAATCTGACTTTTCAATCCCATTGTGTAATTGATGTGACCTGTCTGTTTCCCTGATAGCAAAAAGAAGTTACAATCTCTCCCTCAGGTGTTGTTTTGAAGATTAAGTGAAGTAAAATACCTAAAATAGTGATCTGTGATGGCAGGAACCTAGTATATTTGAGTAAAAAGGCTGATAATTTCCCCATATTTATGTTTTTGTGCTTTGTAAAATTTGTATTTATAACTCATTTTCTCTCTCCCTGCCTCCCCTTTGTTTCTCTCTCTTTTTTTTTAGTATGAAAACTTTTAAAGCTATGAACTTACTTTAATGATCTAGCAACGGCAATTTTAATTGTAGAATGCTGATAATTTTCTGATTTAAAATATAAGTGCTCTTATGAAAAATGTAACGAAGAAACTAAATGTCCTGTCAAATATTATACTGTTGCCAGTATTTCCTTTTCAGAAATTCTTAGAAGTAGATTTTTTAAGTTACTAGCAATACTTTTATTGACTGTTTTAAATTGAATGTTAAATTATTCCAATGAAATGTCCTGTTCTTTAACACTGACCTTGACCTATGTGTGCTTTAAGATGGTATAGAATTTTTTAATTTAAATGTTAAAACTAACCACCTGACTAAAGAGGTATATAGATATGTTAGGTGAATACTGATAATTTGCGTCTTTTTTTTAAAGATTTTATTTATTTGTCAGAGAGAGAGAGATAGAGCAAAAGCAGGGGGAATGGGAGGCAGAAGGAGAAGCAGGCTCCCCGCTGAGCAAGGAGCCCAACACAGGACTCGATCCCAGGACTCTGGGATCATGACCTGAGCCAAAGGCAGTCGCTTAACCGACTGAGCCACCCAGCATCCCCATTTGGTACTAATTTAGACTTAAACTCTTACCAGTTTTGTTTCTCTTGACTCCTTGCTCCTCTACTTATGTTGGAGGATCCTTTCCTTTTGCTTGAAGAACATTCATATTTGCTGTAACACAGGTCTTCTGATGAAGAATTTTCTCTGCTTTTGCCTGAAAATGTCTTTATTTCCGTTCTTTTTCTAAAGAATATTTTTGCTGACTATCCTATATAGGTTTATACTTATAATACTCTAGAGAGTATCAAGAAATAGATGGTAATGAGAAATTAAATAAGACCCTGCTTATTATTTGCTTAGCACAATGTTCTCAAAATCAAAGTGTATGCATCCTGGGATGTCAGAAGACTTTTGAAGAGGTAGATGGACATGCATGATTTAAAAGATAAATGGGTGCCTGGGTGGCTCAGTTGGTTAAGCATCCAACTCTTGGTTTTGGCTCGGGTCGTGATCTCAGGGTCATGAGATTGAGCCGTGTTGGGCTCTGTGCTGTGCGTGGATCCTGCTTGGGATTCTCTCTCTCCCTTTCCCTTTGCCCCTCTCCTGCTTGCAGATGCTTTCTGTTTCTTTATAAGTAAATAAATTAATTTAAAAAATAAAATAAAAATGAGTACATTTTAACTGTCTATATGTCCTCTTTCCTAAAATGGACCCACCTGAGGAGTCCCCTGCCACTGGGCATCACGCTCTTCTAGGTCTGTGTCCCACATTCCCCCCCTTTTTTTTTTAAGATTTTATTTACTTATTTGACAGAGAAAGAGAGAGACACAGCGAGAGAGGGAACACAAGCAGGGGGAGTGGGAGAGGGAGAAGCAGGCTTCCCACGGAGCAGGGAGCCGGATGCGGGGCTCCATCCCAGGACCCTGGGATCACGGCCTGAGCCGAAGGCAGACGCTTAACGACTGAGCCACCCAGGCGCCCCCCACATTCCCTTTGACAGTCATACTAATTCTACTCTACAGAAGAAAGGTGTGCTTCCCAAACCTTCTGAATGTCATGTTTTCTTGGCCCAGAGCACTTAATAAAAAGATCTTTTGGGGCCTTGGTTTAAGGTGAATGCACAGAAACAGTGACAACATCTGGGCCTAAAGAGAATGTACCACCCAGAGTAATTTGCTTTTCGGCCTGTAGGTGCTGGCTTCCCAGGAGAAGAGGGATCAAGGGGGAAAGGAGGAGAAGATTCCAAGACTTAGGTAACGTCATTTCTGGGGAAACCCTTGACTGGAGACTGAGATTTTTGAACAGAAATTTAGAGCTGATCCAGAAGAGCTAAAGACAGAGCATCCAAGTTTGCAGCTATTTCCCAAAATCAGAAGATGATCCAAGCCCAGGTGACTTTTGGTTTCTTTTATTCTTTACTTTATTTCTCAATGGATTAGTAGAGATCTACAAAAGAAAAATCAGGGCAATTAAAAAGAGAAGTTTAAATTGAGAATAGCAGGATCTGGAGAAATCTGGGCAAAGTAGAATCAGGAACCTATGTTTCCTAGGATTCATACTTTGTGATTCATGTTGGAATGAATATATGTGACTGTGTAAGACCCTGTAGGTCACATTAGCTGTCAGTGTGCTGCAAATATCTCTGACAGTCATCACAAGGGAATCTTGGTAAGTTTCATGGTAGGCATTACTGTGATCTGTTTCTACTGCCAACACTTCTGACACCAAACATGAGTGTTTCCACACCGATGACCAGTTCTCCAACTCTCCAGATACCACCTGTCTGCAATTTGATTGAATCCTGACACTGACTACATGGAGTTACTATCATACTGAAGTTTAAAGGGCTCAGCCCTGCAAGACTGCCCGCATTTCAGAAGCCAAGTACTGAGTGCCCAGGGTACCCATACTTCTGACTTGACTACAAATAGGCAGTTCCCACAGTCCCTTCGTTGGTTTTGATAAATCACTATGGTGACTGTCAGGAAAACCCTTTACTTCATATTTACCAGTTTATTATAAAGGATAGAAGATGGGAAAAGCCAAATGGAAGAGAGGCATAGAACAAGGTATGGGAGAAGGGGCAAGGACCTTCCATGCCCTCTCCAAGCAAGCCACCCTCCCAGCACCTTGATGTGCTCACCAACCTGGAAGTTCTCTGAGCCCTGTAGTGTAGCGTGGGTGGTTGTTTTTTTTTTTTTAATGTTTTATTTATTTGAGAGAGAGAGCATGTGCATGTGTACAAGTGCGGGAGGGGACAGAGGAAGAGGGATAAGCAGACTCCCCACTGAGCACAGAGCCTGATGCAGGGCTCATCCCAGGACCCTGTGATCATGATCTGAGCCAAAGTCAGACACTTAAACCACTGAGCCACCCAAGTGCCTCTGGACTGTAGTGTTTTTTATGGAGGTTTCATCACGTAGGGGAGATTGATTAAATCACTGGCCATTAGTGATTGTCTCAATCTCCAGTCCCTCTCCCCACCCTGGACAGCTGGGGTGGGGCTGAAAGTTCTAGCCCTGTAATCAATAGGTTGGTTTCCTTAGCAACCAGCCACATCCTTAGGTTTATCTAGGGGCCCACCAGAGTTACCTCATTAATATAAATTCAGGTATGGTTGAAAGGGGCTTTTTTTTTTTTTTCTATAGGTGATGTTAAGCCAAGCATTGGTTTTTTTTTTGTTTTGTTTTGTTTTTTAAGATTTTATTTATTTGACAGAGAGAGACACAGCGAGAGAGGGAACACGCGCAGGGGGAGTGGGAGAGGGAGAAGCAGGCTTCCCGCGGAGCAGGGAGCCCGATGTGGGGTTCGATCCCAAGACCCTGGGATCATGACCTGGGCCGAAGGTAGACGCTTAACGACTGAGCCACCCAGGTGCCTGAAAGGGGCTTTTTATAAATAATGTAAGATGCCCCTCCCACCCCAACCACTTAGGAAATTCCAGGGCTTTAGGAGCTCTTGTGCAAGGAACCAGAGATGAATACCAAATACAAACTTCTTATTATATTGCAACATCACAGGCATTGCCTGTGAGGAGAAAACAGACTGGTTTCTTGAGGGATGTTAATGTTTCATGGCACATAGGTCTGAAGTCACATAGTTCTTTGATGGTTCTTCAGAGAGATGTGGTGGTGGGTGAGGTCCTTAACTGCCCTTACTACTTATAAATGTAAAAATGTATTTCTTACAACTGTTGCTTCATTGTGTTTATTGTGGTATTAACCCTGCCTAATTGTATGCACACATACATATATATTTGTCTATGTACATATACGTGTCCATAAATACGTTCTTTATAGTTTTTTTTACAAATTTGTTTAATTATCTGTTAATCCTTTTGTTTTATACATGTTTTATACAGTTTCTTTTATTTTGTTTATTAAGCACTGAAATAGTATGTATTGTCTCATGACTATTATCTGCAGTCTCTTCATTACTGGTTTTGGTATTGGCTCAAATGCTCATGGTGAATTTAGAAATCTGTATTATTTGTCTGCTTATAAGTATTATATAGTTCAGTTTTGGCAAGTAAATGCTCAAATATATATAGATTACAGATATTCTTACACTAGGCAAGAGGGTTTAGTGATACATATTACAGAAACTTTCTTAAATTTTCAAGTTTGTTGAATGAATAGAAGATTGCAGAATGACATAATATTATACAAGATTTCTTCTTCACAATGTATTAAAGAATAAAAACCACTATTTCCTATATGGCGAAATGAGCAGAATAATTTCCTTTATCTGTTTTTTCCATATCACCACAAGAATATCACTTCATTAAACATAACTGTGTTATAACAGGAATCCCTGACATTTGATGATGTGGCTGTGGACTTCACCTGGGAGGAGTGGCAGCTCTTGGCCCCCGCTCAGAAGGACTTGTACCGGGACATGATGTTGGAAAATTATAGGAACCTGGTATCAGTGGGTGAGGACAGCTCCCCTGTGTCACTCATGGGGTGCTCTGCCAGTGGCTCTTTCTTTCTCAGCTACTTAACTCTTTATTTTTTTTTAAGATTTTATTTATTTATTAGAGAGAGAGACAGTGAGAGAGGGAACATAAGCAGGGGGAGTGGGAGAGGGAGAAGCAGGCTTCCCGCCGAGCAGGGAGCCCGATGCAGGGCTCAATCCCAGGACCCTGGGATCATGACCTGAGCCGAAGGCAGATGCTTAAGCAACTGAGCCACCAGGCACCCAAACTTAACTCTTTAATACTTTGAAATGGTAGATCCTCAGATCCTTCTCTTGCCTTAGACAAGTGGGTATAATGTCCCATCTTTTGAGAGAAAAGCCTTGATGTTACAGATGTGAAACCTGTTTAGCCCCTAAAATGTAACATTATCCCTTCTTGATATACCCCAGTCCACTAGGTCTTCTGTCTTTTCTCACGAACAGGGTATCAAGCCAGCAAACCAGATGCACTCTCCAAGTTGGAACGAGGAGAACTTTGGATGATAGAAGATGAAATCCACAGCCGAATCTGCCCAGGTGAGTGAGAACTGCCAAGATGGGCGGCTGCAGTAGTATTCTGGTCAGTCAGAGAAGGCATCAGAACTGTGACAGTGTCTGAGGAAACATAAACAGCCCCTCCCATATGAGAACTCTTTTCTTTGTTGAAGTTTAGAGGAAAATATGCCCCTTTTTTTTCTTTTGAGATTGGATCCCTGTTTACTTTATATATTTCTTGTTTTTGTTTGCATGGTCATCTTCCTAGGATTTTCTTTTCTTTTTTTATTATTTTTAAAAAAGATTTATTTATTTCTTTTTAGAGAGAAAGCATGCGTGAGCATGGGGAGGGACAGAGGGAGAGGGAGAGAAAGAATCCTCAGCAGACTCCCCGCTGAGTGCAGAGCCTGATGCAGGGCTCAATCCCACAACCTAAGATCATGACCGGAGCCAAAATCAAGAGCTGGATGCTCAACCGACTGAGCCACCCAGGTGCCCCCTTTTTAATTTTTTTTTAAGGATTTTTATTTTTAAGTAATCCGTATACCCAACACGGGCCTCAAACTTACAACCCCAAGATCAAGAATTGCATGTTCCAGTGACTGAGCCAGCCAGGCTCCCCATCCTAGAATTTTCTATAATCTTCTTCTTCTTGATCCACCGTGACAGTGTTTTTACCTGTGTTACCACCTCTCCTGCTATGAAATTCCACTTTCCAGGCCTCTCTGGAAAGAAACAACTTTGACTTCATCACTTTTTTCTTACTACTTTGCTTGCCTGCCTTACTAGGAAATAATGATTTCGTTCCATAATATCTAACCCCACATTGGATGCTTTGTCTCCATGATAACCTGGTTTTTGCTGTGCATTTACGTCGTTCTTTGGCTTCCCTCCCCCACTTTCCCACCAGAACCCTGGAGGTTCTCCATACTTCTGTTTTCATTTTCTTCTCAGTTCTCATAACTCTGAAAAGCTTCCTTTATTCCCATGAATTAACCTTTTTCCCTTCTCTCAGACATCCAAATTGGCTTCTCTAATGCATGCTTGCTTTCTATGTATTTTGCCCGTCTTCATGGCAGTTAGCCTATGACTTCCCATTTTGTGTGTGAGAACGGGAATCATCTTCTCTCCATCCTTTTTTTTTTTTTAAATTTAGGTTCTTTTTCAGCTCAACACAACTACAGATTTTAAATTTCTCCCTATCCTGGCATTACCTCATTACCTTGAATGTTCTCTACTTGCGGAGCTTTCTTCTTTTTGTGGGGTGCTGAGGGGTAGGGGGAGAGAGAATTTTAAGTAGGCTCCACTGCCTGACACGGCTCAATATCACAACCCTGAGATCATGATCTGAGCAGAAATCAAGAGTTGGACACTTAACCGACTGAGCCATCCAGGTGCCACTGAGCTCTCTTCTTAAAGGTCATTTGATTAACAAGAAAATATCTTTTTTAACATGCTACATGATTTCCAACCCAAACCATGTCATAACTTATGTCTGCTTCTAATTATCTGCTTTGCGGTTTTGTTAATTCATATTTTCTTTTAGTTATTAGATGTTATCACTGCATTTATTTTCCTAAAGCTTTTGTTTTCACATGATTCTTTTTTTTTTTTTTGTAATTCGGTCAATCATGCCCTGACACTGGCTGTGCTGATTTATTATTACTTTTCAATTTCTAAAGTGATGGCAAAATGGAATTTCTACTGATTTTTTAAGACTTGAGTCTGATTCTTTTTTTTTTCCTATTCAAGTATAATTAACATACAGTGTTATTAGTTTGGGGTATACAATATAATGATTCAACAATTTTATATATTTCTCTGTGCTCATCAAGATAAGTTGCTCTTAACTCCCCTTATCTATTTAACCCATCCTCCCACCCACTTCCCCTCTGGCAATTATCAGTTTGTTCTCTGTATTTAAGAATCTGCTTTTTTGTTTGTCTCTTTTTTGCTTTGTTCACTTGTTTTGTTTCTTAAATTCCACATATGGGTAAAATCACAAGGTATTTGTCTTTCTCTGGCTGACATATTTCATTTAGTATTATATCCTCTAGGTCCATTCATATTGCAAATGGCAAGATTTCCTTCTTTTTTTATGGCTGAGTAATATTCCATTGTATGTGTATACAACATCTTTTTTTATCTTTTTTTTCCAAATATTTATTTAAATTCTAGCTAGTTAACGTATAATGTAATATTGGTTTCAGGAGTAGAATTTAGTGATTCATCGCTTACATATAACACCCAGTGCTCATCACAACTACCCTCCTTAATACGCATCATCACCCAGTTAGGCCATCCCTCACCTCCCTCCATCAACCCTCAGTTTGTTCTCTATAGTTAAGAGTCTCTTATGGTTTGCTTCTGTCTTTTTTTTCCTTCCTGTATGTTCATTTGTTTTGTTTCTTAAATTATACATATGAAGTGAAATCCTATATTTGTTTTTTTCTGACTTATTTCACTTAGCATAATACACTCTAGCTCCATCCACATCATTGCAAAAGGCAAGATTTCATTCTTTTTGATGGCTGTGATACCACATCTTCTTTATCCATTCATATCAGTGGGCATTTGGGCTCTTTCCATAGGTTAGCTATTGTTGATAATGCTGCTATAAACGTCAGGGTGCATGTGCCCCTTCAAATCTGTATTTTTGTATCCTTTGGGTAAATACCTAGTAGTTCAATTGCTGTATGAGAGGGTAGTTCTATTTTTTAAAAAAGATTTTATTTATTTATTTGAGAAAGAGCACGTGAGAGAGCACAAGCAGTGGAGAGAGAGAAGCAGGCTGCCCATTGAGCAGGGAGCCTAATGCAGGGCTTGATCCCAGGACCCTGGGATCATGACCGGAGCTGAAAGCATCTGATTAACCAACTGAGCCACCCAGGTGCCCCAGGGTAGTTCTATTTTTAACCTTTTTTTTTTTTTAAGATCTTATTTATTTGAAAGAGAGAGTGAGCACGAGTGAGGGGAGGGGCAGAGGGAGAAGGATAAGCAGACTCCCTGCGGTGCAGGGAGCCCGATGTGGGGGCTCGATCCCAGGACCCTGAGATCATGACCTGAGCCGAAGTCAGACACTTAACAGACTGAGCCATTCAGGTACCCCCACATGAAGGCATTTTTAAAACAGTTTTATTCCAAGCTAAGATTATGAGAGATTACAGAATAATTCATTGTTCTTTTCTCTCCTAGAAATCAGGAAAGTTGATGATCCTCTGCAGTGTCACTTGCAAAATGGAAGCACTCAGAAGAGTGTGGAACAATGCTGTGAACATAATACATTTGCAAATATTCTTAATCAGAGTGAAAGTCATTTCCTGTTAAAGCAAAATTATGATATGTTTGACTTACTTGAAAAACCTTTAAAATCAAATTTAAGTTTTAAAAGCCAGAGTATAAACTGTAACTTAAAGAACTCTACTGAGTTTAATGAAGATGGAAAATCCCTTCTGCATACTAACCATGAACAATTTTATAGTGTAATAAAATTTCCTGTAGATGTAAAACCCACCAACAATAATTCCCAGGTCATTAAGCAGCAGAGAACTCCGAACATGCGGAAAGCCCATGTATGCTGTGAATGTAGGAAAGTCTTTGTCAAGGTGTCTCAGCTCATTGATCATCAGAGAGTTCATACTAGAGAGAAACCTCACGGATGCAGTCTGTGTGGGAAGGCATTCTCTAGAAAATCCAGGCTAACGGAACATCAGAGAATTCATACAGGACTGAAACACTACGAATGTACTGAATGTGACAAAACATTCCTCAAGAAATCACAGTTCAATATACACCAGAAAATGCATATGGGACAGAAGCCTTATACATGTAATGAATGTGGGAAAGCGTTCATCAAGAAGTGTCGGCTTATTTATCATCAGCGAACTCATACAGGAGAGAAGCCCCATGGATGCAGTCTATGTGAGAAAGCCTTCTCTACAAAGTTTAGTCTCACTACACATCAGAAAACTCATACAGGAGAGAAACCTTATATATGCAGTGAATGTGGAAAAGGCTTCATTGAGAAGAGGCGTCTTGTTGCACATCATCGAACTCATACTGGTGAGAAACCTTTTATATGCAATGAATGTGGGAAAGGTTTCACCTTGAAGAACAGTCTTATCACACATCAGCAAACTCATACAGAACAGAAATTATATACATGCAGTGAATGTGGAAAAGGCTTTTCAATGAAGCACTGTCTCATCGTACATCAGCGAACTCATACAGGAGAGAAACCCTACACATGCAATGAGTGTGGAAAAGGCTTCACCTTGAAGAGTCCTCTTATCAGGCATCAGCGAACACACACAGGAGAGAAACCCTATGTATGTAGTGTATGTGGAAAAGGCTTTACCATGAAGAGTGATCTCATTGTACATCAGCGAACTCATACTGCAGAGAAGCCATATATATGCAACGATTGCGGGAAAGGCTTCACTGTGAAGAGCCGTCTGATTGTACATCAACGCACTCATACAGGAGAGAAACCTTATGTATGCAGTGAATGTGGAAAAGGCTTTCCAGCAAAGATACGGCTGATTGGACATCAACGAACTCATACAGGAGAGAAGCCCTATATATGCAATGAATGTGGAAAAGGCTTCACAGAGAAGAGTCATCTCAATGTACATAGGCGCACTCATACAGGAGAGAAACCGTATATATGTAACGAATGTGGCAAAGGCTTAACTGGAAAGAGCATGCTGATTGCACATTTGCGAACTCATACTGGGGAGAAACCGTATATATGCAATGAATGTGGAAAAGGCTTCACCATGAAGAGTACTCTAGGTATACATCAGCAAACTCATTCTGGGGAGAAACCATACAAATGCAATGAATGTGATAAAGCCTTCAGGAAGAAGACCTGCCTCATACAACATCAGAGATTTCACACAGGAAAAACTTCCTTTGCATGTACTGAATGTGGAAAATTTTCTTTGCGTAAAAATGATCTCATTACCCATCAGAGAATTCACACAGGAGAGAAACCATATGAATGCAGTGAATGTGGGAAAGCCTTCACTACAAAGTCAGGCCTTAATGTTCATCAAAGAAAACATACAGGAGAGAGGCCCTATGGATGCAGTGATTGTGGGAAAACTTTTGCCCACTTGTCAATCCTTGTTAAACATAAGAGAATTCACAGATAGTCACTTTGGGATAACCTGTTGCCAGTGATAAGCCCTCAAGATAATAGTATGTAATGAAGAATAACAATGCAAAGAATAGTATTATCTTTAGTGGTCAATTGTGTCATATTTTATGTTGATGAAAAAATTTACAAAACAACTCACATACAATCAGCCTTGATGAAAATATTTTAGGACATTATACATCTAAAAAGTGTAGACTGAAATAGATTCTATGAATGTGACAGACTAGGAAAGCCGTCAGTGGGAAGTAGATGCTATCATGTGATCATCACAGATAATGAATGAATATTTCTAATTGGTAGAACTATAACTGTGGGAAAACCTTTGCCCAGAAGTAAGACCTCAATAGATGTCAGTTCACACTAGACAAGTACTTTCCTGTGGCAATAAATATAAGGCTTGAAGTAATATATTTGAAGTAATATATTTGCCAGGACTTGAAGTAATATATTTGCCAGGAAATCCATACAGAAATAACTTAGGAACACATTCAATGTGGTGGACTTTAGCAAAATATCAGACAACTTAAAGGAAAGAAGCTTTGGGGAAATGATGAATGAGAGCATTCTGTCATGTCTAAAAATAATAAACGGATAATACACCTAAACATAATTAATGGATAATATGCCTCACAAGCATGCAGAACAGGATACTTCAGCTTTATTTCTGATTGCCTTGTCATTGGTTTTATAAATTTTAAATAGTGGCAGTTACTCTCAACATGGATTAAATTTTAATATGTACAATGCAGGAGTGTTCCATGCCTGTGTCATTATATAATTAACTTTTGAATTTCTTTAGTTCCAAGTTTAGTTATTACAGAATACTTGAAGTTCTTCAAAATGAAGTAATATATTCATTTCATATGTATAACTCAATGTATTTGGATGTTTAGCCAAGTTTATAAGCAGCATCAATTTTGAATTTGAAATAAGTTTAGAATCATAAAAACTGGAATATTTCAGGGATTTCCTAAATGCCCTTCAGCCAGCTACTTCCAAAGGTAAAATTTTACATAACCAGAGTTCATTACCAAATAGAGGAAAGTGAAATTATTATAATGCTTTTAACCACAAGATTTACTTGGATCTCACCAGTTTTAACATGGACTCATTTTTGTTTGTTTTTTATGTACAGTTTTAAGAAACTTTATAATGTGTAGGTTTGTGTAACCAACACCACAGAATGTTTTGTCTACACAGACTTCCTCATGCAAACCCTTCATAGTCACATTTTTCTGTGAACCTAACCCCTGGCATCAGAGATTCTGTAAGTTTTGTCATTTGTAGAATTTGAGGAAAGTAGAATCATTTAGCACTTACTCTTTGATGTTGGCTATTTGACCTTGTGAGATAATGGAAAATATATACATTGGTCTCTGCCCCTGGTTCCTGGCACACACTCCTAAAACCCTTGTAAATTACTAAGTGATGAGTGCACTAGGGGCATTTTTTATTCTAATGAGGCAACCCTGGGTGGGCTCTCCTGTATGGCTTCTGGATGGGGACTTGTCACCAGAGAGACAGCCATAGAAGCTTAGAACTTTCAGCCATGCCTCCCTTCCCCACCTCCCCGCCCCCAATCCTCCAGAAATGGGAGAAGGAAATTGAGTTAATAATTCATCAATTCTACCTGAGGAAGCCTCCATAAAATCCCCAATGGTAGGTGAACATACAGGTAAGTGAACACATCCAGGTACATGGAGGGTAACATACCACAACTCCATGGGGATAGAAGCTCCTGTGCTTGGGACCCTTCCAGGACTTATCCTGTGTATGTCTTCATCTGGCTGTTCACCTATATTCTTTATCATAGCCTTTAATAAACTGGTGTAAGTGTTGTCTCTGAATTCTTTTTTTTTTTTTTTAAGATTTTATTTATTTGAGAGAGAGAATGAGAGAGAGAACATGAGAGGGGGGAGGGTCAGAGGGAGAAGCAGACTCCCTGCTGAGCAGGGAGCCGGACATGGGACTCGATCCCAGGACTCCAGGATCGTGACCTGAGCCGAAGGCAGTCGCTTAACCAACTGAGCCACCCAGGTGCCCAGTGTTGTCTCTGAATTCTGTGAGCTGCTCTAGCAAATTAAGGGAACCAGAGGAGGGGAAGCTCACACTTGTAGCCAAGTCAGAAAATGTAGGGAATGCGCAGACCTGCTCCTTGCCATTGGCATATGAAATGGGGAGAGGGGTACACTTTGTAGGACAGGACCCTTCACCTGTGGGGTCTGACACTCTGCACGTTGACAGTGTCAGAATAGGGTTACATTGTAGGACACCCAGCTGGTGTCCTGGAAAATTGCTTGGTGTGTGGGAATCCCCACACACATTTGGTGACCGGAAGTGTCCTGTGGCAGTTGTGTGAATAAAGGAGACGCACAGGAGGAGGACAAGTCAACGTAGATCAAGCGAGGAGCTCTCTGGGGTCTTCTCCGCATTTGGACACCGGACTTACAGCAAACTGGCCGCACCCCAGTTCTTCCTGCCCAATGGCTCAGGGCAACCGTCAACTTGCTGTTTTTCCCAAACTCATGATTAGAATGCACCCCACGCCATATCGGGCTTAGAGAGGTTCCCGCCTCTGAAAGGTAGTTAGCTCTGCGCCTGTGACCATCTCTTGGGAAGAGAGGAAGGCCCCGGCTGCCCTTAAGACGGTTCCATTTCTTCCCGCCGAGGAAAGTGCTGGCAGCCAATGGCAGCTCCAGTCGGAAGCGCCAGACACGCTCTGTGAGGAAACGGTAGTCCCCTCACACCCCCGTGCTCACAGGCCCTTGGAAAGCTGAGCCGCGTTTCTGGCAGGATGGGAGCCCGCCAGACACGATCCACGAGGAAATGGTGGTACCTCACAGCCGCGTGTTCGCGGGCCCCTAGCGAGCCGAGCGCACTTCCGGAAGGGCCACGGCGCGCCAGACGCGCTCCTCGCAGCCCTCGACGCCCCCAGCGCTGGCGGGGAGGGCGCGGGGGGCCCTCAGAGGCTGGGGTGGGTCCCGAGTGAGGAGCCCAGCCGGTGAGCGGGAACACGTGTGGGGACGTTTTCCGTATTGGGGGTTTTATTTGGGCTCAGTCACCGAGGAATGCGGGCGTGAGTTAAGGCATGGTCTTCAGAGACTGATGATGAAGGGCCGACGGTCAGGGCCTGGGGCCTGTGCATTAACTCAGCCTGGCTCAGTGACTGAAAACTAGGTGGCAGGTGCGGATCCATGATCACTGCCCCTCGGCTACCTTAGCGATTTCACCCGGGGCTTCTGACAGGGAGCAACCTGTGGCGGTAGGGGCGGGAGTTTCCGTGGACCAGAGTTCCTGGGCTGAACTTGAGATCGAATGTGAGGTCAGTGTCGTTTGGGGAGTGCAGGGTTTGTCTGTGTTTGACAACATAGGAGTCTGGAAGTTTTGAGACCCATAGCCCGGGGCTAGTGGGTGTTTTGAGGCTCAACTTTTGGACGGTGGAAACATTTCCTTTCGGTTTTTCAAGTCCCTTCTCAAGGTTCTACAAAAATGTGAAGAAAAATTTGTCTCCTACATCCACTCTTCCCACTGTCCCCACAAAAACCGGAGTAGTTCACCATGATCAAGTGGTTTGTCCGTGAATAAAGAGAGGATTTTTAACTTATGGCCAAGTTTACCCGGATATTTCCTTTCAGGCTTGACACAAGTAAAAGCAACCATTTTCTTAAATTCTTCTCCTCAGTGAGAGCAATTTTGTTAAAAGAAATTTTTTAGATTACCTTTCCAAAAATTGGGGTCATCTACATTCAAGACTCTGCCTATCTTCTAACGCGCCTGTTTTTGCATTCTCTCTGGCAAATATTAAGAGTTCCTCTTACTCCACCTTATCACCAGCATTTTATACTTTCAGTTTTTTTTGGATTTTGGCAATTCCAATATCTGGGTATTTGTATCACACTGCAGTTTTTAATTTGTAATTTCCTAATAACGAATGATGTTGATCATCTTTTCATATGCTTATTTGCCATCTGTTTGTCCTTGATCAAGTGCCTGTTCAAGGTCTTTGCCCATTTTTAAACTGAGTTCTCTTATTGTTGACTTTTTTTTTTTTAAGATTTTATTTATTCATGAGAGAGAGAGAGAGAGGCAGAGGGAGAAGCAGGCTCCCAAGGAGCAGGGAGCCCGATGTGGGACTCGATCCCAGGACCCTGGGATCATGACCTGAGCCGAAGGCAGATGCTTAACCATCTGAGCCACCCAGGCACCCTTATTGTTGACTTTTAAGAATTCTTTCTGTGTTCTGGATACCAGTCCTTTATCAGATATATGACTTGTGTGATGAATGTATAGATTCTTTTTTTTTTTTTTTTGCTTAGGAACATCTTCGTGTTCCAGCATGATGTGTTGAAGTCTGTCCTTTCTCCATTGAATAGTCTTTGTACCTTTGTCAAACAGTTGAGTATATTTGCTTTGTGTGGGTCTTTTTCTGGGATCTCCATTGATCTATGTGCTTATTTTTTCAACAATGCTATCAATACCAATACTAGTATGGGTTTATAAGTCTTGAAATCTATTGATGTAAGCACTGTATGTATGATGGTTCTCTTTGGCCAGAATTGGTTTTGATATTTTCAGTGGAGAAAACTGGCACACATACCTTTACTAGATCAACATTAAGTCATTTTGGTATTTGGTACCCCTACCTATGATGTGATGAGAAAGGAACTTCAGTTCTGAGTGTCTTTCCAAAATGCATAATCCCTGTTTAATGAGGAAAACTTAGACAAAGTACCTGATCAGTACTCCTCAAAATAATTGAGAGATGAAAAAGAAAAGACTAATGAATGGTCACAGACATGAGAAAATCAAGGAAACATATTTTCTAAATGCATTATTGTATTCTTGGGCAGAAAAAATAGTAATGGAAAAACTTGTGAAATATGAATAGAATCTGTAATACAGTTGAGTATTATACAATGTTGTTTTCTTAATTTGACAAATGTACCATAATTATATAAAGTGGTCATATGAGCGGAAGCTGGATAAGGTATATGTGAACTCTTTGTAGTATTTTGTGACTTTTATGTAAATCTAAGATTTTCTGAAAATAAAAAGTTTATTAAAAATAGATAAAACCTATGTCAATTATATCTTAATAAAACTGGGAGAAATAGGTGTAACTAAATTTTATCAGTTAATTTCTCATTGTAAACATACTTCCATATTATAAAATGTTTATGCATATCTATATATAATATTATTATGCGGCTTAATAATATCATAGGTGAATTTGTAGGATGGTAACTAGAGTCACATAAAATGTATGCATTAAAGTAAGGTACACTTGAACAAAATCTTCAATTATGTTCAGTTTCTATTTTGATCCTCTCATTATCCAAATTCTTACATTCTCACTGCAAGATTTGTTGTAACTTTTTTCTTATATGTTCCA